AATTGAATTTTATACAACCATTTAAAAATGAGGTATACCATTTAAGAGAATCATTTTAGAAAACGAAATATAGCATCATTCAATAGAAGAAACCAGAGTTCCTTGAAGAAACAGCTGATGGCAGGATTAGGGCAGAAGTAGGGGAAGTGTAACCCAAACCTGGAACATATCGTGGTTCCAGAAGTACACAAATGTTCAAACAATGATGGTGACACGTCAAAACACAAGAGATAATTGAACAGGCTCCCATTAGCCAAAGCTAGGACTTTAGCCCCAAAATTAATATTGAAAGTGATAGATTATAAACAAAAGAGCCCATCAGTCCATACCGTATTATATGGTAGAGAGGAAGAGGGAGAAAATGAATGATAAAACAAATACAGTAAAATAGCAACGTTTGGGGAATCTAGGTGAAAGTTATATGGGAATTCTCTGTATTATCTTTAAAACTTTTTGAGAAGTTGTGAGTGATTTCAAAATAAAAAGTTAAGAGGAAAAAAAGGAAGGGTTAAATTTAATATAAACTGACAGATAACTGAAAAATCTGTAAGACAGATTTAAAACTAAGCTGCAGAATAATTTCTATAACGAGAGAAGAGAGACTGTGGAGCTGGGGCAGAGAACAAGGAAGCAGTTTTATGTTGCTTTACTTATTTATGCAAGTTTGAATATTTTTCAATGAGTTAATATTTGTGTACTAACTGAAGCCCCTTCCTTCATTCCCACTCCACCCTCTGCCCCTAAAATTAATGCCCCTGGTAACAGGTGCTGGACCACCAGGTAAACAACAAGGGAGAGTGAAGTATAGGAAAAGGAAACTAATGCTTAGATCCAGAATTCAGTGGCATATCTTACATGAAATTTCAAAATCCAAATTATGAAATTATTATTCTTTACTGGTATCCATATAAAAAATTCTATATTCTATGAATTTAAACAGAATTTAAAACATCTAAATTACAGAATCATAACTCCCTTTCTGGTACCTACATAAGAACTCTGTGTAAGGAATGTCAAAGGAATGTCAAAGTAGAACTACAACCCTGTAGATTTTATAGATAACAACCCATACTAACGACATATGAGGTCATGACGGGCACTGACTCACTTAAAAACCCACCACCAGTCTGTTACCTTCATTTGCTCAGTCCCATTGCCCTTATTCACGGATTGCTTTTTTGGGACGGCTTTTAATTTTTATTCTTTTTTTTGCTTTTGTTTGAGTTTTCTTACCGGCCCCCGTTAGGAAGGGGGGGGGGATTTACTTAAGGTTTTTTTTTTGCCCAATTTGCTTCTTTCAAGGGGGGAAAGTTCCCCTTTTTTGGGGGAAAATCTACGAGGGTTTGAGATGTAGGACTTTAGTCCAGAGTTCCAAAAACTACAATATAAATTAATAAACATACATAGCCCAGCCCTGAAGAAACATCTTGTTTTCTATGATTAGTCTACTTTATGGTCTTCAATATTCAGTATTCTCAGTGCTCCCCCACCCTTTGTTCCAAAGTCTTGATTTTCCTTTGAGTTTTTACAAAGTTATTTTTTATATCTTCTTCCCTTTCAGGGAACTTTGCCTAAGTTTACCATGACATATATTTAAGATAATTCTTACCTTGTGAAGACAACCCACTTTCTGTATATCAAGCTGGAACCGATGTATAATTCCCTGTAACTTCCCATATTCACAATTTCAAAATTTAATATACTGATTTAATATACTGCATGTAAAATAAAAATTTCTACATCACCTGCATGCTGAAATTCTGATGACTATTATCTGCCCATAATTAAAAAAAAAAACTTCAATGAAAATAGGTCATCCTTAGTCTGATATTGCAAAATCATACAACATCATGTGCTTGAACATCACTTCAACTGAAATTTTCACGATGCTACTATCACCTTGAAAGAAGACCCTGCCATTGGTCTGATCATTGCTGTTATAGCCTCAGCCCAAAGCAGAATGACACAGGGTTTTGATTTCTATGTTTAAAACTGATGTTGAATATTCACAAGAACTATATGAAAGTTCAGACTCTTTGACCCAGTATCTCACTTCCTGGGAATTTGTCTTAAGAAAATAATTCAAAAGCATAAAATAAGTACTTCCACATTACCCATAAGTAATATGAAATACTGGGATCAATGTTACTATACAAAAAAACAAGAATAGTTTTATAAATTATAATGAATCAATTCAACAGACTATTTTAAAGCCACTTATTGAGAAATCATTATGAAATATAACTTACCAAGACTACCTAATAATTCAGAATTTTAGATATAAATCATAAATGAAAAAATAAAAGTGAAAAATTGCACATAAAAACACTAAAATGCAACTAAAAATCAATCAAGTGTGATATATAAATTCACTTCCTTAAAAATTTTTTAAATATTGTTTCACTTTTGATTTTACAATAAACCATGGGGGGGGAGAAGTGCCAAAGAAAATCTCTTCTCGGAGGCCAATAAAAGCTTGAAAGTCTGAATTTCATATTCCTATACAGAAAATTAAATTATTTTCAGCATCAGCAGTACTATACCAAATAAGACCAAACCTTAAAACATATAGTTCCCAGATTTGAGATTTGTTTTGGACAGATATAGAATCCTACCCAGTGGCTATAAAGGGATACAATAACTATAAGAAAAAAAAAATGGTAAAGGATTTATTATATTACAAACGACTTGTCCTCAAAGCCAAGAATATACAAACTGCACTTGATTACAGGTTCAAATATCAGAAGCCATAAATGGAAGAGGACTCAGAAAAAGATCTGTCTTGAACCAGAATTATTTCTTTAGCCCTTAGAAGTGTTTTTTCTAGTCCCTTAGTGAAGAGGAATTGGTATCACTATCAGAACTCACTGACCACCCCATTATAAGTAAACTTATACAGCAAACTATGTACCATTTCTTAACAAATGAAAAAATACATATATTCTAAGTTTAAAGGGAGGAGACAGCATGTCAAAGCCAACAATTAAGTAGAAGTAAGGGCAAAATCCTTTTAGAGGAGAAAACCATAGAGGTCTTACTACCCCTAAGGAGGTGGCAGTGCTATCTCTTCTTGGCATTGCAGTAGTCACGTCAGAAGCCATAAAATGCATAGCATCCTTGGTATAGAAATTATGTTTCCTCTTTACAATAATCCTTCCTCATAAAATTCTATCCCTGTCTTTAAAAGACTTTTCTTGCAATTAAACTCTGAAAAAATTTTGCTAAAAAAATATTTAAAAATCCAATGTGATCAATGTTCCAAAGTGAAATTGTACATGTCTTAGGTCTGATTCATTTTCTTTATTTTGTAATTAACTGCCTGAATGACTTGAGAAGCTTCTGGCTTCACTACACAATCTGGAAGCAGCAAGAACATTTTTCCAAAGACTTAGCTGTCAAATTACTCCTCCAATAATGTATTGTTTTCTAATGCTAGTGTAGAAATGCCAGGGCACTCTGACAGATAACTGTTTGAAAATTTGTATTCAAAGCTTTTAAATAGCATGAAATGTTGGTTTTGGAACCAGCTGGCAAGTAGACAGGCAGGGGCAGCAGGAAAGGGGAAGACAGGAAGGGAGGTGCTGACGACCATTCTGGGCCTCCTTTCTGATACTGGGATCTTAGTTCTGGAAAACAGGTTCCCAGAATTTGTAGAATAGCAATTAGGCTGAATATTTTTTTCTAAAAGGGGCGGGGGGGCTCCATTTCTGTATACATTAGGAATTCCACATGCCACATGTTGGAATATGAAAAAAGATATACATCAGAAAAAAGAAGAGAAGAGAATCCAAAAGCATGTTATCAAACATTAAATTTTCTAACTGTGGACAGAACTTTCTAAATTACACCTTAAAGGGAAAAGAAAACAATTCTCTGTTATCAACTGATGTGTTTACTAGGGTCTTAATACCTTAGTCTAAAACCACACTGTCCACTACGGTAGCTACTGGCCATCTGTGGCTACTGTGCACTAGTCCAAATTCATACGTGCTATGTGTGTATCAGACACATGGGATTCAAAGACTTCATATAAAAAAAAACGTAAACTATCTCATTAATATTTTTCATACTGAAATGATAGTATTTTGGATATGCTGGAATTAAATAAAACCATGATTAAATGGATTCCATTCATTTCTTTTTACTTTGCTTAATGTGGTTACTAGAAAAGTTAAAATTATGTCACTCATATTATGTTCTCCTTATTTTTTTACTGGACAATATTGGTATATAAATTTATGTTGGATTAAATTACCTTTAAAATTCCTGTCAACTCTAGATTTCTGAGATTAAGAATCTATAGTCCCAAGCTACTAAGTTTTAAGTAACAAAGTTCTTTCAGAGAAACCTAGTTTTTGTCATTATTTCGTTCTTTCTCCACATTTTTTTCACCTAGACCTCCCAGCACCTTCTCATCTGTTCCCTAACAGCCAAGAAGAATGAATGTGTCAGTTTATTTTAAAACTACAAATATGCAGTTCATAGGGCCATTATGGACAAATAATAATAAAATTGCCATTTGGTCATATTCCTTTTTGCTTTATACTATCCTGATGTTTGTCCATTTTTAATGATCTACAATGAATAATAAATTCTGTGAGTTTTTTTCAGTTTTAATATCTATAAAATAGGAGTAACAGCATTAGAGAACTTTAGAAGTCTTATATCCAGTTGTCCCCAAACATGCTGGCACCTCTAAGTCACCTGGGGAACATATGAACAATGTTGATTCCCAGGCTTGATATATGGAGATTCTGACTCAGTAGGTCTGGATGAGGCCCCAAATTCTGTATTTAAGAAGCTTCCCAAGTCTCTCTGAGGCTAAGACAAAGTTTGGGAACCCCTGGCCTAGCCTAACTTACTTTATGTGTAACTGAGGTAAAATGAATTGTCCCAGTGCTAAGGCCCATTGGCCTCAGACCTGGAACTAGTGTGCAGACTCCTAAATTGGGCTCACTGACATTGTTGAGAGACATCCTACAAAATACACGCATACTCACTCCTCAAAAGCCCCAGTCATCAGTATATCTTCTTTGTCAGTTTTAACATCCAACTCTGGTTCTCCACTAAGCAGAAGCTTCAAGTTATAAATAACCAGCAAAGTACCTGGCAGAAAAATAGATGTTTGACCTGTCAGTATTTTAAATACACTAAATGCCAGTCATTGTGTGACAGTCTCATTTATGGAACTGGGTCTGCTATAGACCAAATTTTCTTTTGTATTTCAGCAAATAATATGTTTGAGTAAGTCTTTAGACAAACCAAGATATATGTCTTACAGTAAATTGCACCCTCTGCCAAAAAGTGTTGAGCTTCTACAGCAGGGGTCTTCAACCTTTTTAAACAGGGGGCCAGTTCACTGTCCCTCAGACCATTGGAGAGTGTGCACTGTGGGCCCAGGACTAGTTGGTTGCTAAGCAGGACAGGCAGTGGTGGCAAAAACACCCGGAGGGCCGGAAAAATGTGCTAGGTGGCCTGCATATGGCCCGTGGGTCATAGTTTGAGGATGCCTGTTCTACAGTATGGTGTTACTATTCAATTCATCAAAAGACTTTCAATATGGATTCTCAAACTTTGGCATTCTTTTTGTAATTTACACTATGAAATTTGTTATGAGGCTCAGCCAGGTTTGTATTATAGGTAAAGCTCTCATTGGCAGAACTGAAATCAACACATGTGAGAACAAATGCAAAGCATTGTTTTTCGACTCCATAGCAGATGTTGGCAGACTTTTTCTGTAAAGGGCCAGACAGCAGACATTTTAGGCTTTGCAGGCCATACGGTCTCTGTTGCAACTACTCACAACTCAACTGTGCTGTTGGAGCATGAAAGCAGCCATAAAGAATACATAAATGAATGAGTGTGGCTGTGTTCCAATAAAACTTTATTTATAAAAAACAGGTCACATTTGACCATAATTTGCTGAGCCCTGCTCAGAGCATTGTTAACAAAAAGTCCAAATAATTTATGAAATTGATTATGATATGAAGACAGAGTTGTCAGAGAAATTAAAAGGACAACTAATTAATTATACTTTTTTGGTAGTTCTTAAACACAAGAGAAAATGACATAGTGGCTGAGATCATGGACTTTGAAGCCTAAAGTCCTGTGTCTACATCCTGGATCAACCATTTACTAATGCAGTGACTTCAGATAAGTTTCCTCACCTTTTTAAACTAATTTTTCTAATACATACAACAGAGCTCATCGAGTTGCTCTAAGTATTAAATGACTTGATTTTTATAAAGCATTTGGAAATGTATTCAGGAAATAGGAAACCCTTCATTCGCATTTGTCTGAGTATTTCATAATTAGAAGTCAATTAAGAGGTTACATTAACTATCCTTTAAATTATAGTATATATGTTAATAAAACAAATATTTATAATGATGATATTTTATTTGTAATATTTATTTATTTAGTTGCCACTATTTTTCCTCTATGACAAAGAGAAAAAGATGACTTTAAGTATCATTTTTAAATAAAATACCATAGGTTAGAGAAGAAATTTTGGAGGTAAAATAGGCTAAGTCAGAAACAAATTTCTCAAAATTTTACCACAAACATTATATAAATCAAACAGTTGCAAAAAGTATAATGCACATATCTTTCTCTAAAGTAAAGTTCTTTTTGCTTCTATATATGAAAAATGGTGGATGTATGGAGAAAGACTGGCACTGGAAAATGTAGGTAGACACAGTGCAATCTATATATTGAATAGAAAACTGATGGAGATTGAGAGAATAAGGGAAAAATCTGTTAATCTGGAGAAGAATGTCTACAAATCTTTTGCAAAGTCTCTACCACAGAAACACGAATGCATTATAAATTGCTAACTCTCTTATAAATCTGGGATTACCCCATCTCAGAGGCTACAGTAAGCAACTCCTAACTTTGCTAACTGATGCAGGGACTGTGAAGTCCCCGTGGTCATCGCCTGTATCATCCTTTTTCTCATCCAGTTTCACCAAGCTCATACAAGTACAAACCTTTTTCTCAGTGTCAGACACTTACAGCAACTTATATTTGGATTCTCTTACGACAAAGCTCATGTGGATAAAATGAATGACTGTTCCCATGTGAGATTCCACGTGAGTTTATTAGAATAAAAAACATGAAACCATATGTATAATGTCTTTCATAAGACACTAAAAACAAATACTTCAAATGAAATGTCAGAGATTTGATGATCTTACCACATTTTCCATAGATTACATCAAATTGCTGCATCAATTCAGCTTCAGTCTTAAATGGGGAATATTTATAAATTATAGATAATTCCGTTGAGAATTTTTGGGGATCATCTGTGACACATTCTTTGGTTCTTGTTAACCATGAAGGCATTGGAACTACAACCTATTAAAAAATATATATCAATTTATTATAAAATACACAAAAATCATCATTTTTTGTCTGTTCCTAATCCATTCCACTCTTCATCCAAATTACAAAACACAAATTTAAAAGTTTATTTTCTTCCTGTATCCTAGTTGTACAAGGAAGAGACACACAACAAATGTGTATACACAGGGTTTTATTTTAAAATACTCCATTGTGGATTGTGGGGACAGATGGAGTGTACTTCAGCTTCCTCTTGAGAGATGGGTAGAGTGACAGAGGAAACAACAGAATCAGTGTTTTAGAAGTTGAAAAGCATATGACAGCATACCCAAGAAAATCAATTCAAAACCCATGCCAGAAAAGAGAAAAGCCAATTTGATTTACAATTCAGAATCCCTCACCTGAAAGGCTCAGAGACTGATGGCATGAGTTAACTCTGGAGGTGGGGTGAGGAGGGAACAGAGCTAGAAGTAGCATTTAGATTCTCATCTGGCAACAGCTCCTCCCCAGTCCTCACAGACCCTGAATATTTATTCTCTGGAAAGAGTGCAACTGCATTTCTGGACTAGGGGACATAGCAGGCACTGTTGTTGGGGCACCTTATTGAGATTAGAGGGAGTAAGTATACATCTCAGATGCTGAGAACTCCACGTCCTCTCCTCCCAGTTGTCTCCCAGAAGGCAGGTCAGCCTTCAGGCAATAGACTGTGGCAGTCCTCTCTGGGAAATTAGACCAACCCAAAAGGAAAGAACTAAAGACAATTACATTAAGGATTCTGCAACAAAACATCCCAGTTAGATCATATTATGACACTCGCAGCTGCCAAGCCCCACCTACACTCTCGAGTGTTCACTTAGTATTTTATTGGACCAATCTTTAAAGTGTTCAGGATAAACAGCTCTCTAAGAAAAGTCTATAATAAATAGAGACCAAACAAACAAGTATACACAAAGGAACTCAGTAGAAACTAACCATAAGAGGAAGATGAAAATTTCAAGAGGGGAAAAAAACAATCATTGTTAATATCTTGAGAGCTTTAAGAGAAAATACTTTATCTATGAAACAAGAATTAGATATCTTTGAAAAAGGAACACTAGGAGAATAAAAAAGACTTTTTGTAAATGAAGAATACAGAAAAAAAATTCGATGAGACACTCTAGCCTAGGCAACACAGTAAGACTCGGTCTCAAAAAAAAAAAAAAAAATTGATGAGATAATTCAAAGATAAATGTTAGAAAATCTCCCAGAAGAAACAAAAATACAAAAGACAGAAAATAGGAGAGAAAATTTAAGAAAATTAAAGAACCATTTCCAGAAGTCCAAGAGCTATTATAAAAAGCAGGAGTCACAAAAGGAGAGAAAAGAGAATATAGACGGAAATCATAAAATGTTACAGGAAACTATCCCAGAACTGAAGAATGAGTTTCAAAATTAAAAAGATCCAACAAATGACCAGTACAATGTATGTAAATAGACTCCACACTGGCAAAATATTGAAATCAGAACAGAAGATTCTTTTGACCCTCAAAAAGTAGAGGGGGAATAAGAAATGGGTCACATATAAAATTAGGGAATTAAAATGGTTTCGAATGCCTCAATAATAATATTAGAAACTAAATAATGGAATAACACCTTCAAAATCCTGAAAGAAAATGAATTACAACCTAGAAATAATACCAAGCCAAACTATCATTAAGTATAAGGGCAGAATAAAAACAGTTTAATGCATGTGAAGTCTCAAAATATTTTGCCTCTCCTGTGTACCTTGCTTAGGAAGCTACTGGAGAATATACTGTACCAAGAAGAGGGAGCAAGCTACAAAAGAAGACATGAGATTTAGAATCTGAGATCTGACACAGAAGAGAGGGGAAGAGAATCACCAGAACGATGGCAAGGGCAGATCCCAGGCTGGCAGCTGAACACCAGCCATGGAAGCAGGAGTGTGACCAGGCAAAAAGTCAGTGACAGTGATAAGCACAAAGGAAACTGAGCAGTTAATTATTAATCCCAGGGGGAATAAAAAGTTGTGTGCGAATGGGAAAAATAATAGTTTACAACATGGTATAATGTGAATAGTGTTTATATAATCTTATAATGTAATCCTGAATATTAGTATAATCAAAATTACACAACAGGCCGGGCGCGGTGGCTCACGCCTGTAATCCTAGCACTCTGGGAGGCCGAGGCGGGCGGATTGCTCAAGGTCAGGAGTTCGAAACCAGCCTGAGCAAGAGCGAGACCCCATCTCTACTATAAATAGAAACAAATTAATTGGCCAACTAATATATATAGAAAAAATTAGCCGGGCATGGTGGCGCATGCCTGTAGTCCCAGCTACTCGGGAGGCTGAGGCAGGAGGATTGCTTGAACCCAGGAGTTTGAGGTTGCTGTGAGCTAGGCTGATGCCATGGCACTCACTCTAGCCTGGGCAACAAAGCGAGACTCTGTCTCAAAAAAAAAAAAAAAAATTACACAATAGAACTATGTTGGGGGTGGAGGATTGGAAGGCTGTGTATACGTGATAGGAGCAGAGGAAAAAGACAGATAAATCCTCTTTTATAGTGGGAGATTAATAGAAAACACCTAAATAAAATCAAGAAATAGCAACACAAGCATGCTTCTTAGGGTTATGCAGGTAAATATTAACAAACTAGCCTAACATTGCTGCAAGAGGTTGCTTCTGTGGAAGTGAAAATAAGTAGTGGTTGGTGCTGTCAGTTAGAAAAAAAAAGGAATGGCCCACTTTAGGAAAGCTGTAACTCAGCATTAGCCCAATTTCCCATGCCCTTCACACACATAAAATGCAACATAAATGCTTAAAGCATCACTTTTTCTCATGTCAGACTCCCATTCAACTACTTGCTACCTACGCACTGCTCGCGTCACCCAGCCACACCCTTCCTGGCAGTCTCACACCTCCACACTGTCCCTACAACCCCACGTGCATGTCCGGATCTGAGACTCACTGGCGCCATTTCTCGCCACATACCCGCCCTTCCAGCTGCAATTTGTACTCTCTCCATAAAACCCTCATCGGTCATTTGAGGCCCTCTGATCTTTCCATCCATATCATTGCTTTTGACAATTTGAGAACAGTAGCCACATAGATTCATGGAACAGCATTCTGTTTAAACACCCTCTTTTTATTATTTATCCAATTCATATGTGTCTGCCTTATTCTGTGACAAAGCTGAAAACTCTTTGATGGTCACATGATCTTTTGTGTGTTTTCTACCTCAGCTGTTTATCCAGTATGGGGTGGACAGTAGGTCCCCAACATGTATCTGTTACATTGAATTATAACTGACATTCCTAATAGTAAAACTCAGGGACTGCAAATTAAGAAAATGCCTCTGGATAAGCAAATGGAGTTTTCTTCTAGAGTTCACGTTCTCTCCATTACCCAAACATATTCCCAAATTTTTAAATTATATCAGGCCGACACGGTGGCTCATGCCTGTAATCCTAGCACTCTGGGAGGCTGAGGCAGGTGGATTGCTCAAGGTCAGGAGTTCGAAAGCAGCCTGAACAAGAGTAAGACCCCGTCTCTACTAAAAATAGAAAGAAATTAAATTGGCCAACTAAAATTAAATATAAAAAATTAGCTGGGCATGGTGACACATGCCTGTAGTCGCAGCTACTCGGGAGGCTGAGGCAGGACGATTGCTTGAGCCCAGGAGTTTGAGGTTGCTGTGAGCTAGGCTGACGCCACAGCACTCTAGCCTGGGCAACACGGTGAGACTCTGCCTCAAAAAAAAAAAAAAAATTATATCAGAAAGAACGCATGATAGATTTCACCTCCTGAGATGGCAAATGAAAGCAACTCTGTTGCTGTGGGAATGGAAGGAAAACCTCAAATCTTACCTCATTAAGACCTTCGGTTTCACAGAATGTCTGAGAAAAAAACACACAGGTCATCGTTTCTTCCTTTTTCGTAAAAAGAATAAAGTCTTTTCCAATTCTCATGGACCCACTATATTAGAAAAGAAGAACATAATGGTTTACATCTCAAACATAAAAAAGAAGAAAAGGACGGCTGTTACTATGTCCTGTAATGAGATGTTCTATTCAACACAACCCATTTTGTTGACCCATCACCAAGAGGGCACAAATATTTTTTTTCTCAAAAAAGAGCAGATGAATTTGAACTGATCCAGCCCCACGCTCTTTCTTGAGTCATGGCTGCTGAGGATAAGGTCCATCTGAGGCTCAAAGAATAATCGTTGGCCCTGCAGGAACAGCACTGGTAAGCCTCCTGTCCTCAAAGTTCAATGTGGCATACTTAAAAAATAAGTTGTAGATACACCATTTAGACTAAACTGTGCCTTAAGACAACAGAACATAAAGATGCAACAAAGCTCTAAAGTCCAGCGATTTTTTTTTATTTTATCAATATATACTATTTTATCTTTTTATGTGGTACATGTATTTTTCAGGTGCATAGAATATGTAATAATTAAGTCAGGGTATTCGGGGTATCCATTACTTTGAGTATTTATCATTTCTATGTGTTGATAACATTTCAAGTCCTCTCTTCTGGCTACTTTGAAATATACAACATATTGTCACTAACTGTAGTTACCCTAGGCTGCTATGGAAGATTAAAACTTATTTCTTCTAACTATGAGTTTGTACCCCTTCAGCAGTCTCTCTTCATTTCCTGGTCCTACTCTCACACCCTTCTTGTATCTATCATTCTCTTCTCTACCTCCATGAAATCAAGTTTTGTAGCTCTCACATATGGGTGATAACATGCATTATTTGTCTTTCTGTGCCTGGCTTATTTTACTTAACAAAATGACCTTCAGTTCCATCCATGTTGCTGCAAATGACATAATTTCATTCTTTTTATGGTGAATAGTATTTCATTGTGTAAATATATTAATATCACATTTTCTGTATTCATTTATCCATTGATGAACACTTAAGATTGATTCGGTATCTTTGCTATTGTGAATAGTGCTATGATAAACATGCGAGTGGGTAACCCTTTGATATGCTGATTTCTTTTCCTTTGGATATACACCCAGTAGTGGGGATGCTAGATGATATTCTTTTTTTTTGAGACAGAGTCTCACTCTGTTGCCCAGGCTAGAGTGCAGTGGTGTCATCAAGCTCAGCCTCAGCTGGGACTACAGGCCTGCGCCACCATACCCAGCTAATTTTTTCTATTTTTAGGAGAGATGGGGTCTCACTCTTGCTCAGGCTGGTCTAGAACCCCTGAGCTTAAGGATTCTTCCCACCTAGGCCACTCAGAGTGCTAGGATTACAGGCATGAGCCACCACACCAGGCCAAAATGCTTACCTTTTAAGGCCATTGCCATATTGCCCAATGAACTTCAAGGTTGACAGCGGTTTTTTGGATGCTCCAAAGTAAATGATGTCTGAAGCTTCCTCTGCAATTGACAAAGAACTTAATGTGTCAGGAAGAGTCTTTGACCCTGGCCTGAGGTCTAGTTGTCAGGACTTCACACGCATCTCAGGACACTGGGTCAAGTTCATAGATCTTGGGTCAGCCCAGAACAAGAATTCTTGTCAGGATTAATAATTTCCTATAAGGATCTTAATGGTATTACAGGCAACTCTCCATTTCAGTGGGTTTCACATTCATGGATTCAACTAACCTCAGAATGCAAATGTTTAAAAAAAAATTGCACATATAGACTTTTTATGCATTCTTCCCTAAACAATAAAGCATAATAACTATTTACATAGCATTTACATTGCATTAGGTATCATAAGGAATTTAGAGATGATTTAAAGTATATGGAAGGTACTTTAATTTCTTTGTTGCTATTGTGAAGGGAATTGAGTCTTTGATTTGGTTCTCAATTTGATTGTTGTTGGCGTATATGAATGCCTCTGATTTCTGTGTACTGATTTTGTATCCTGAGACTTTACTAAATTTATCTATCAGTTCTAGGAGTTTCTTGGTTGAATCTTTGGGGTTTTCTAAATATAATATCGTATCATCAGCAAACAGTGAAAGTTTGATCTCTTCTGCCCCTATTTGGATACCTTTAATTCCACTTTCCTGTCTGATTGCTGTAGCCAGGACTTCCAGCACTACGTTGAATAGAAGTGGAGATAGTGGCCACCTTGTCTGTTCTAGTTCTAAGTGGAATGTTTTCAATTTTCTATGGGTCTGTCATATATGACTTGTATCAGTACCTAGGAATATACTTAACCAAGGAGGTAAAAGACCTCTACAGGGAGAACTATGAAACACTGAGGAAGGAAATAGCAGGGATGTACAGATGGAAATCCATACCATGCTCATGGATCAGCAGACTCAACATCATTAAATGTCATACTACACCAAACTGATCTACAGATTCAATGCTATACCTATTAAAATCCATCAGCATTCTTCACAGATATGAAAAAATAATTTTATGCTTCGTATGGAACCAAAGAAGCCCCGAATATCAAAGCAATTCTAGGTCAAAAACAAAATGGAGGTATTAATATGCCAGATATCAAACTATACTACAAAGCTGTAGTAATTAAATCAATCTGGTATTGGCACAAAATAGGAATATTGACCAGTGGAACAGATCTGAGAATCCAGATATAAAACCATCCTTTATATAGCCATAATCTTTGACAAAGCAGACAAAAACATACACTGGGAAAAGAATCCTTTTCAATAAATGGTGCTGGGAAAACTGGATAGCCACTTGTAGACGGCTAAAGCAGAACCCACACCTTTCACCTCTCACAAAAATCCACTCGCGCTGAATAACAGACTTAAACCTAAGGTATGAAACTATTAGAATTCTAGAGGAAAATGTTGGAAACACTCTCCTAGACATCAGCCTAGGCAAAGAGTTTATGAAGAAGTCCCAAAGGCAACCCAGCAGCAATAAAATAAAATAAATGGGACATGTATAACTAAAAAGCTTCTGCACAGCCAAAAACAGTCATGAAAGTAAACAGACAACCTACAGAATAGAGAAAATTTTGCATCCTACATATCTGATAAGGGGCTGATACTATAATATACTTAGAACTCACGAAATCAGCAAGAAAAAACAAAAACCCTATTAAAAATTGGGCAAAGGACTTGAACAGAAACTTCTAAAGAAGACAGAAGATGGCCAACAAACATATGAAAAAATGCTCAACATCTCTAATCATCAGGGAAATGCAATCAAAACTCACAATGAGATATCACTTAACTCAGTGAGAATGGTCTTTATCAAAAAGTCTCCAAACAATAAATGCTGGCGTGGATGCTGGAGAGAGGAACACTCCTACACTGCGGTGGACTGCAAACTAGTTCAACCTCTGTGGAAAGCAATGTGGAGAACCTTAAAGCGATACAAGTGGATCTACCATTTGATCCAGCAATCCCATTACTGGGCATCTACCCAAAGATCAATGACATTCTACAAAAAGACACCTGCACTCGAATGTTTATAGCAGCACAATTCATAATCACAGGCTTGTGAAACAGCCAAGTGCCATCAATCCAAGAATGGATTAATAAATGTGGTACTATCAGTACCATGGAGTACATATTCAGCTCTAAGAAACAACGGTGATATAGCACATCTTATATTTTCCTGGTTAGAGCTGGAACCCATACTACTAAGTGAATATCCAAGAATGGAAAACAAGCCACCAGATATATTCCCAGCAAACTGGTATTAACTGAGTAGCACCTAAGTGGACACATAGGTACTACAGTAATAGGGTATTGGGCAGGTGGAGGGGGAGGGGTGGTATATACATACTAATGAGTGAGATGTACACCACCTGGGGATGGTGATGCTGGAGACTTAGACTTGTGGGGGGCGGGGGGGAAAGGGCATTTATTGAAACCTTAAAATCTGTACCCCCATAATATGCTGGGAAAAAAAAGGAATACAACCATATGTGAACAATAAAAATAAAATAAAGTATATGGAAGGATATGCACAGGTTAATATGCAAATGCTGTGCCATTTTATAACAGGGACTTAAATATTTATGGATTTTGGTATCCAAAGGAGGTCCTGGACCCAATCCCTCATGGATACAGAGTAACGACTATATATTGAAGGAGGTTGGACAGATGTTCTGGGTATGGAGATAAAACACTGAACAGGCCTGTCATGGCTGCTGCCCTCAGTGACATTACATCATGGTAGAAGAAACAGATTGAATGAAGTAGACTAATAAGATAATTTCTAAGAGTATTAAGTGAAGAAAACAAAACCAGGGTAACGTGATAGAGAATTAACAGGAGCAGGGCCTGCAGACAGAATGATCAGGGAAAGCCACTTCCAGAAGGCTGACATCTGAGGTGAGATTCAAACAGTGAGGGGCCAGCCAGGGGTGACTGAAGTTTTATAAGTAAGGAAGTGGGCAAAATGAGAAGAGGACAGAGGTATATGGGGCCAAATAACACAAAGCTGTGGAAAACATGCTGGCAGTATGAATTTGGTTGTTAGCAATGGGAAACCACTGAGGGTTTTCAGGAGGATGATACGATAAAGTTTACATTAAAAGAAAAGAACTCACTCAGGATGCTGAGTGGGGAATGGACTGTAATGGGGCAAGGCTAGAGATAAAATAATATATATATATAAACAACCCAAAATCTCTGCAAGTCATCTTCTATGGGTCAAGACTGATCTAGCTCAGGTTGAACATCAGATAAACTCTTCTAACTTATCACTAGTTGATTTCCAATGCTAATTAAGACCTGTTCTCTCAACAATAGTGTGCTTTTTTATAATACTACTATATAAATCTACTGTGAGCTCCTTCTGAAGGTCTGAATATTTGTCACTTGTCTGTCTTTCCATCATATTCATAACCCATGTAAAAGGGTTTTATTCATAACCCATGTAAAAGGAATTGCTTACTTTCATAAAGAATTCTCTGATAATATATCACATATATTGTTCCGTATTTTAAGAATTCAGGAAAATGAACTTAACATTCAGGCTAAAATTTAAAAAATTAGACTGTTTTTCAGCATAATTTTCTTACAAACTCTTTTCTTTCTCATTTAGTTAAACACTAAAGGACCAACAACTTTTAATCAAATGGCCTGGAAAAATCAAAATTATCCAAAGTCAGAACAAGAAGTAGGCGGGATATTCGAGCATTTTCTAAAGTTGCTAATATACATTCTTTGACTATTCAGATCAAGGGAGGACTTCATAGCCAGAAGAAAACTGCTTTACTTTGTATTCTCAGCTTACAGTCAGCCTGTCAACAGATGACCATACTGAAGATCATCCTTTCCTTGGGTATGGAACTGACCAGAATAATTCCATATTACTTGAACTCTGTCACCATTTTTTAAATCTAGTGGTCAAAAAACCTAGCTTGAGAGACATAAAATGTTTAAAGAATTCAGAAATACAATATATAAAACATTTCAAAGCCTTTATCAAAAGGAGTAACATTTCAATTCCACAGCACACAGATACTGCGCACCTGTTATGTGCCAGCTTTGCGCTAACCTTGAACACACAAAAAGAAGTCATGAAATATATTGCAGGTATATTTGCTATGATGGGAACATTCATTTGAAGCAACTAAACCTTTGAACATGCAGAGAAAAAACAAACTGCTAAAAACAAGGAGAGGTAACCTCTACCTCAAGGTTAAGGAGAAAATTAAAAATAGCCTAAAGGCACAGGAAACTGCCTGAGGGTACCTGCAAGCAATACTTAAAGGTTGAGCTAAAACAATCTCATAGTCTTTCCAGTACTGTTTTCCATTCATTCCCAGATGCTTTTTTCTTACAATCAGTACCATTGCCTTTCATTTTTCTGATAATATTTATTTACATTCACTCTTTATCTTGGTTTAGATAGTTACAGTAAATTTACTATGCTAGCTGGATTATTTAACCTACAAAGTTCAACAGTAAGTTAAGTCTGGGGTTTATTTTCCCTAATAGCTCCATACCTGTTTTTGCATAGATAGCTAAACTTATTTTTATTTATTTTATGGGTTTTCAGACTGCTTCCTTTAACAGCCAGTTAGGTATCTAGATAATTAACTTACCAGGGCTCATGCCACATCCATCATCCAGGAAACACAACATGAATCCACCCTGCAGTTTTTCATTATCCACTATAAGAGAAAGCAGTTATTACTAATAAATATCAGGCTTAATTTGTTCGTTAGAAAGTCATGCTGCTCACATAATTATTTGTCTTCTTCAAATCCAGCCATGGAGTGACAGAGTTATGGCACAGTGATGGAGCTCAGAATGGAGTCTTGGCTATTGCCTGATAAGAAACTGCAGGGGAAAAACAATCATGCAACAAAAAGGTCTTAAATTAACATAAAACATCCACACATTAATAAATTATGTATACAGCAGGACATACTCTACTCTGGAATTGGACTGGTCCTTTAAACTTCAGGTATTTCCTCCCTAGGGGAGGGGAAAAGGTAGATGGTGATGTGACCCCAGGGTCCCTTTATTAAACTGATCAACCTTCATGCCCCTCCACCACAGCACTGATTCTAAAACAAATCCAGGCCATTCTTATTAAATTCATCAGGCTCCCTTCTAAGTAGTTAATTCCATAAGAAACATTTGTGAGTATTTCTTCACGGCAGCAAATATTTGCCTCTTAAAGATGCATTTAATTTTTGAAAATGGCTAAGTTATCTGGAATTGATTTTGATAATTAAGAGATACCATTAAATCTATAATATAATCTTTGGTTTAAAATATTGTAAAGGTACAACTAAAACAAGACTAAAATTTTACCATGCAGTTTGGAAACTAGCTCTGGAAATAATTTTAATAGTTGGATATATGAGTTCTAGTACATTTCTCTCCTTTTTTAATGACAGCATTACTGAGGAATAATTTATTCACGATAAACTGCACATACTTAAAGAGTATAATTTGACAAATTTTAACATATATATGTATATACATACCTGTGAAACCACTGCAACAATTAAGAGAGTGAACAAACATATGTATCACCCCAAATGTTTCCTCCTGACCCTCTACAATCCCTCCCTTCTGCACCCTCCATTACTCCCACCTCATCCTCAATCACTGATCTGCTTTCTGTCTTCATAGATTCATTTCCTGCACATTCGTTAAGTCAATCTCTGTGTTCAAAGGTCACCTAGAATTCACATTTTAAGAATAATGTTCAAGATAGCCCATAAATAAATATCTAAAGGACATACCTAACCTTTCTGGGTTCATAATTTTACTGGTCATATACCCACTTCTAGTTCCCCCTTCTCTCTCCAATTTACTTCCTTATCTATATGCCTTTGGATCTGATCTACCAGCTCATTTTCCTAGTTCTTTCTCTCTATCCAGTCCCTGGATCTGCTTACCTCAACTTCTGTGTCAGTATATTCCTCCCCCCTTAAGGTATTCACTTTATTAAGTCCTCTGAGTAAGGCTGACATTCCTCCACTGAATGAGGAGAATCCAACTCTTGCTAAATTCTCTGTGCAAGGCAGTAGTTCTCAATCTCAGTTGCACTTTCAAATCATCTAGAAATATTCTAATCTAACTGGCCTTGGATGGGGCTCAGGAATTGGTATTTCTTTCTTATTTTTTTGAGATTTTTTTTAAAATTCAGGATATTATGGGGGTACATTTTGATTACATGAAATGCATTTGCCTCACTCAAGCCAGGGCCACAAGTGTGTCCATACCTCAGACAGTGCGCCACGTCTCCATCAGCTGTGGATTTACTCACCGCCCCCACTCTACCCCCATCCCCACTACCTTACTGGCACCCAGTGAGTATTACTACCATGTGAGCACTATAGTGTTGATCAATTAGTACCAGTTTGATGGTGAGTACATGTGGTGTATGTTTTTCCATCCTTGTGATATCTCACTTCAAAGGATGCGGTCAATCTCTATCCAGGATAATATAATAGCTGCTAGATCACCATTATTTTTCATAGTTGAGCAGTATTCCATGGTATACATATACCACATTTTATTAATCCACTCATGTATTGATGGGCATTTGGGTTGTTTCCATATCTTTGCAACCATAAATTGTGCTGCTATAAACATTCGAGTGCAGATGTATTTATTATAGAATGTCTTTTTTTCCTTTGGATACATGCCTAGTAGTGGGATTGTAGGATCAAATGGTATTTCTATTTTTAACTCTTTGAGGTATCTCCAAATTATGTTCCACAGGGGTTGTACTAATTTGCAGTCCCACCAGCAGTGTAAGAGCGTTCAAATCTCTCCACATCCATACCAGCATTTGTTATTTGGGAACTTTTTGATAGAGGCCATTCTCACTGGAGTTAGGTGATATCTCATTAGTAGTAGTTTTGATTTGCATTTCCCTAATGATTAGAGATGTTGAGCACTTTTTTATATGTTTGCTGGCCATTATTCTGTCTTCTTTTGAAAAGTTTCTGTCATATCCTTTGCCCATTTATTGATGGGGTTGTTTGATTTTTTCTTGTTGATTTTCTTAAGTTCTATATAGATTCTTATTATCAGCCCTTTATTGGATGTGTAGAAAGCAAATATTTTCTCCCATTCTATAGGTTGTCTATTCACTATAAGGACAGTTTCCATGCTGTGCAGAAGCTTTTTAATTTGATCAGGTCCCGTTTATTTTTGTTGCTGCTGTGATTGCTTTAGGGGTCTTCTTCATAAACTCTTTGCATGGGCTGATGTCTAAAAGAGTCTTTCTCACATTTTCTTCCAGAATTCTTAAGGTTTCACTCCTTAGGTTTAAGTCTGTTATCCAACATGAGTTGATTTTTGTGAGAGGTGGGGATCCAGTTTCAATCTTCTGAATGTGGATATCCAGTTTTCCCAGCGCCACTTATTGAATAGAGATTCTTTTCCCCAATGTATACTTTTGTCTGCTTTGTTGAAGATTAGATGAAAATATGATGATGGTTTTATGTCTGGGATCTCTGTCCTATTCCAAAGGTCTATATCTCTGTTCTTGTGCCAATAACATGCTGTTTTGGTTACTATAGGCTTATAGTAAATATTGGGGTCTGCCAGATTGATGCTTCCCAATTTTTTCTTTTTGCTTAAGATTGCTTTGGCTATACGAGGTCATCTCTGATTTCAGATGAAGCGTAGAATTATTTTTTTCTAAATCTGTAGAGAATGATGGTGGAATTTTGATAGGGATTGCATTAATTCTGTAGATCACTTAGGTAGAATGGACATTTTAACAATATTGATTCTACCAATCCATGAGCATGGTAGGAATTTTCATCTGTGCACATCGTCTACAATTTTTCTCAGTGATTTGTATTTCTCCCTATAAATATCTCTCACCTCCTTTGTTAAATATATTCCTAAATATTTAAATTTCTTTGATGCTATTGTGACAGGTGTTGTGTCTTTAATTTGATTTTCAGCTTGACTGTTATTGGTGTATATGAATGCCACTGATTTGTGTGCATTAATTTTGTATCCTGACATTTTACTGAATTCATTTATCAATTCCAAGAGTCTCTTGCCTGAATCCTTGGGATTTTCTAGGTATAATAGCATATCATCAGCAAAACGTGAGAGTTTGACCTCTTCTGTACTCATTGGGGCACCTTAATTCCCTTCTCTTGTCTGATTGCTCTGGCAAGGACTTCCAGCACCATGTTGAATAGAAGTGGAGACAGCAGCCAACCTTGTCTGGTTCCAGTTCTAAGCAGGAATGCTTTCAATTTCTCCCCATTCAATATGATATTGGCTGTCGGTTTTCATATATGGCCTTGATCATTTAAGGAATGTTGCATCTATGCCTATTTTGTTGAAGGTTTTTATCACAAGAGTGTGCTGGATTTTATCAAATGCTTTTTCTGCATCTATTGAGAGAATCATATGGTCTTTGTTCTTGCTTTTATTTATGTGGTGAATAGAGAGGTAAAACAAAATAAGAACATACCCAACAATATGAACAGAAATCAACCCCAAATAGCAATCCTCTCAATAAATGTGAATGGCTTGAATTGTCCTTTGAAGAGACAAGGTCAAGGGTTAGAAAACAAACTTTCAGGCAAATGGAAACCAAAAGAGAGCGGGGTTAGTGATTTTTATTTCAGACAGCATAAATTTTAAAATAGCAAAAGTAAAGAAAGACAAAGATGGTCACTATATAATGGTGAAAGGAAAAATCCAACAAGAAGACTTAACAATTCTTAGTATCTATGCACCCAGCACAGGAGCACCCAGATATATAAAGCAAACGTATTAGAACTAAATAGTATGATAAACAGTAATGCCATAGTAGCAGGAAATTTCAACACCCCACTGTCTGAAATGAACAGATCCTCCAAACAAAAAATAAGCAAAGAAATAATGGACTTAAACAGAGCTCTGGAACAAATGGGTCTACAAGACATCTACAGAACATTCCACCCAAATACAGCTGAATAAACATTCTTTTCATCAGCTCATGGAACGTTCTCCAAAATCGACCATATCCTAGGTCACAAATTAGACCTCAACAAATTTTAAAAAATAGAAATTGTATCATGTATCTTCTCAGACCATAGTGGTATAAAACTAGAGATCAATTCCAACAGGAACACTCACCACTTCACAAAGTCAATTAAACAATCTATTGCTAAATGACTCCTGGTTGAAGGAAGACATTCAGATGGAGGTCAAAAAATTCTTTGAATTAAATGATAACAGGGACACAAGCTATCAAAACCTGTGGGATACAATAAAAGAATTCCTGAGAGGAAAACTAACAGCATTAAATGCTCACATCCAAAAAACAGAAAGCTCACAAATCAACAAACTAATAAACCATCGAATGGAACTGGAAAAGGAAGAGCAAATCAATCCTAAACCTAGCAGAAGAAAGGAAATAACTAATATTAGAGCAGAACTAAATGAAATTGAGAACAAAAGAACTATACAGAAGATCAATAAAACCAAAAGCTGATTTTTCAAAAAGATAAACAAAATTGATAGCCCTCTTGCTGGATTGACAAGAACTAGAAAGGATTTTAATAAACTCAATCAGAAATGAAAAAGGATTTTTGACACTGTCAACAATGTGTAAAAAAAAAAAAAGAAGAAGAAAGAAAGGAAAAGGAGAGGTCACTATAGACATCATGGAAATACAAAATACTATCTTTGAATAAAAATGCTAGCTTATGTGACCAAAAGCTACAAAATGTGGAGGAAATGGGCAAACACTGCCCCTTCACCCTTTCCATGATAGCTCACCAGATGAATGCCTATTTTCTCTTTAGATTAGTTCATATAAGACTCTTCTAGGGATCCTTCCTAATCCTTTCATGTCATTAGGTGCCCATAATGAATATTCTCTTTCTAATCTGTTTTCCCATCTTCATAGTATATTAAAATACTTGTTTGTACATCTATTTCTCTTTCAGTCCAATGGTTCTTGTATTTTGGGGAAACATAGTTATCTCAGAAATATGATTAAACCTATGGGCCCTCTACACACAAAAATGCAGATCCTTACTACATTTTGCAGGGAACCCCACACTAGAATGCCAATTCCTTAAAAGTGAGCACTGTGTATACCCAGCACTTATCCCAGTGCCTGGCACTTGGTAAGCACTAAAAAAATGTGTACTTGAATACATATCTATGTTTACTAGAACTAATACACATAGGTGTGTAAAACACATGCTGAAACATATTTAGTTTGAATTTCATAGTCCTCAAATTCGACAATTATTCAGGGCCCCAGTAAATAATCTGAAAACTTGTCCAAACTTGCATTAACGAAGCATCCCCAGAACAATTCTATTTATTGGTGCATAAGTGCTGACCCTGTCTTTTATTATTCTTTTTTTAAAGAAAATCAATTTGCTAGGTTGATAGCTATATGATCGCTTGCCATAATAAAAAAAAAAAAGTTGCAACACAAATAAGTAATTTAAAACCAAAAACCATAAGTTCAGTTTTTCACAAAATACACATAACCTAAAGAAAGAAGTGACACTTTCATCTCAAATTGGCCATTTTATGACAACTCCAAGTGCTTGGGGAAAATGGGGTGAAATGAGCACTCTCGTGCCCTGCTGGTGTCCAGTCACACACCCAAAAGAATATAACATATGGGTTTTGATTACATTTGCTGTACTTTGCAATGCCATGTAAGTCTTCTCAACCCTCTGTCAACAGTGCATGTGCTTTGAATGATACACAGCTTAGGTCTGTTCTTCCTTCTCCATTTCTAGGACCATTGCTCTAGTTCAAATTCTCATGAAATCTAATTTCCACAGCAATACCTTCCTACTACCCTTGCTTTCATACTTCTCCAGACTATCTTGTATGCTCCTATATTCTAAAAGGAAAAAGAACACTTATCTACTTAGGGGGATGAAACTGTTCAAAATTCTTCAATGCCCCACTGAATACAGAAAAAACCTTAGTATAGTATTTAAGATACTCACCCATTTGGCTCTAACACTAAGCTCTAGTCAACCTAACCTGCTTGTTCCCTGAGTGCTTTTTCTCTAGGCATCTATGTGGCTCGGCTCACTCTCTGACATCACTCAGGTCTTTACTGGTATTGTCACCTAATTAGAGAAACCTTCCCAGATGACTTCATGAAAAATTCTATATACTCTTCCCATAGCTCTCTGTTCTCTTCTCCTGCTTTTTTCTTTTTCTTTCAGCACTTATCATTGCCTGGTATGTTATTTGTTTGTTTATGTCTTTATTGTCTCTCTCTCCCCACTAGAATGCATATTCCATGAGAGCACAGACTTTTAACATTTTGCTCAGTGCCCTATCCCTAGCCCCTGGAATAATAATTACCATTGAATAAATGAATGAATCTCTGAACTAGTTTACCTCCATTCTTTTTCTAATAATTCTTTTAACAGGTATATTCTTTTCTTCCTAGACTATTTGACAAAGATCACACCCATATCTCAAGCCCTAGCTCCTGAATGTGAGGTGTAATTTTTTCTTTCTCTGTGTCCCCACCATATTTACAGTCCTAGGCTAGAGCACTTATCCTATTTTATCCTGTCTAATTGGACATGGAAGGGAAGACTACTTGTTCTCCACCAAAGAGGCTCTACCTTGTCCCTTTACTCACTTTCCCCCTGTGAAGGTGAGCTCACCCATCTGACTGGTCACCTAGGGAAGAATAAACTGGGGAGGCTCAGTTCACTTCCTTCATTTTCCTGTTGGGCATGAGCTTCCTGCACAAAGCATGAGTTCTGGGCTCCCTCCTCCCCGAGGCAGACAACTTCCCAGGGGAAGCTTGATTCCACCAGGCAGGGAGTGGGCTAATCAGCAAGTCCATTTGCTCTCTCCACACACTCCAACCCAAACTTTATCAGTAATAAAGGCTGATTCTTTTCTTATTTCTCAAACTTTTCAGAACCTGGAGAGTAGGTGGGGAAGAAGAGCATCATTTATCATTTCCTCAGTCATCTCAAGAGGTCTCTATCTCCCTCATGAACTGTAAGGACTTCTCTGGCTCAGGACCATAAATACTCAGAAAAGTGAACTGAACTGAGGTGCCCTTTAAATACAGATATGGATGTACCTCATGGACCATATCCTCTGGCCTGTGACCAACAGCCAATACTACAGAACAGCTGATGGAATCAGGGTAGGGAAGCAGTGTCACTACATGGGCTTTTCTCATTTCTCCAGGTAGTGTTAACTACAGAGCTGGATCACAAAACCTAATTTCCTTAGTGTCATATTGTAACAAGATTACCTATACGTACAATAAATACTTGGTGACTACAAATAAAATCAATGAAGAAAACATATTTGGTTTGAATTTTACAGCCCTCAAACATTCGTACTGCACATTCACTTTTGCATTTTAAAACTGTGATAAGTTGGGAATGATGTATGCTTAATTATGAATAACCATTAAGTTAATATGCTTTTTAAAATAAAACTGCTTCTCATGGCAGACAAATTGACTGCTCCAAATCACTATGATACTTCCACAAAACTCTGAATGACCTAATTTTGCAAATGGTTCTTCTAACAAGTGAACAATTTGACTCTCAGAGTGTATTTTTCTCACCCTGGCTCCCCACAGGGCCACTGTATTCACAAAGCACTTAGATTACATTAAAAATCTATAGAATGTGGTTTGATTTCATGAAATAAAATAAGATCAAAATAACTACAGGCTTTCCATTACAAGAAGAAAAAAAAAAAAAGAAGAAAGCAAATCTGCTCACCTGAAAACACATCAAGTCTTGCAGCCCCTGCATCTCTGGAAACAATATAAAAATATTAATGCTTCAATATGAAATTATGTTTAAAAGATTACATTAATATGAATTGCACATATGAGGTACAACCTATTGTCAGCTATCAAACAATACAAAACTCCACTTAAATTACTTCAAAATGAATTACTAAAATGTTTCAATGTGCTTTTGCATAATAAGACCTATGAGCACTCATAATTTGAGAATATTACAAAGCCTGAAACTCAGAAATTTAAAAGAAGAGATGAAATTTGGTGGTAGTTACACAAAAAGCTCAACAAAATAGATATGAATATTTTTTTTAAAACTGGCTGGAGGATAATCCAGAAGTCATAGAATGTTTTTCATGATATATTTTAGTTCAAAAAAAAAAAAAGAAATGAAAAAGCAAATTACTAGGTAATATGTACTATAGGATCACATGTTTAAGAATATATATGATATACATGTATATAAATGGAAGGAAAGAAATAAAAATGTTAATAGAAGTTTTCTCTAGGTCAGAGGTTGGCAAACTATGGCCTACAGCTCAAATCTGGCCCACTTACTGTTTTGTAAATAAAATTTTATTTGAACACAACCATGCCCACTCATTTACACATTGTCTATGAACATATTTACATATTGTGCAATGGCAGAAATGAGTGGTTTCAAAAGAGATTCTGTATCCCACAGAAGTGAAAGTATTTAATATCTGGTCTTTTACAGAAAAGTACGCTGACCCTTGCTCCATGGGATGAGATGATCAGTAAAGTTTTTTTTTCCTTATTTTCTCAGTTTCCTAAAAAACACAGATATTTTTGTATTTTAAAAAGTTATTTGTAAAAGAAAAAATGTAAAAAGGAAAAGAGAAAGAACCAGAAGATCTGGCTTCAATATCATGGGTGTGACAGAAAGGAGGAAGACAACAAGGGAGGTGTCCTTAGCTGATGAGGAAGAAGGTATGTTAAGGAAGGAGGAGGAGAAGGAAGGGAGGAATCTAAAGGGAAGCTCAATACAACAGGAACTCTAATAAGGAAACCTGAGTCTCTCTCAAAATTTCGGTAAGTCCCAAACCCAAACAACCCCAAATAAATCTCAGTAGGTATACCTTATTTGCTCTACAAGCCTGGAAGTTAGTGCCTTCTACCTCCTTCCTCTAGCCAACTACTACTTCTAGGCCCTCCCTACATAAACATTCTAGAGTTAGCACTGCCATTGCTTGAGCATTTCCTGTGTGTCAAGTAAGCACTGAATGAAGTATTTTTGAAAATTTTCTTCTAATCTTTACCATAATCCCATGACTCGTGGGTAGCCATATCTCCATTATACAATTATGCATTACACTAAGTACTATGTACACAATAGGTGCTCAAGAAATGCCACTGCGTTGAAATGGAAGTTGTTAAAGAAACAGTTTCTTCATACAGCACTTCCATGCTTCCATGGATTAAGGCATAAAATATTAATAACTCACCCTTACAGTATATTAAGACCTTTTATAATAACCTTTATTCTTCAGCCCAGGATACTTTCTCTCTTAACAGCTGTTGTATTGGGAGGAGGCCCCTAACCATCCCTTCTATACCACCACATTTTTCCCCTCTATCTACAGTATTATTTTAGTATTTTTCAGTTCTAATTTTCACAACTACAGATTATTAAAATATTGAATACAATGATATAAAATAATGTCTTAGAATAAGACAGGGACTTAATAAAGACCTCCTTCATGAGACCAACTGTGTACCTTAAATAAGTCCGTTAAACAGTCTTATTTGATGTGAAATACTAGCAGATAAGCAGTGGTGGGAAACTCAAGTGTCCACTGAAGACACTGGAACTGAGGGGTTCGGGCCGTCCTTGGGGGAGCACTGGAAATGGGCCAAAGCTGAAAGCACAGGCTGGTCCCAAGAGAGGACCTGCTACTCACCACCAGCCCCTGGTCCCATGGAGGAATGTGGCCTTGAGGTTGCTACTTCTAATCTTTCAAAGAAAGCAGGGGACCCAAATTTTTTATGTGGTACCTCCTATTTCTCAAGCCTTACAAACAATTCCTTTTTTTTTTTCTTTCCTTTTCTTTATAAACACTGACCAAACTTTCACTATGAGCCAAACAAACATGAGACAGGCTGGACCTGGCTAAGGGGCAGCCCAGAGACAAATGGGTTTTATTGATCACATTCTTTCACTCTGCTGAGTCTGATGTTGATCTTTCTTTCTCAATCAATCCCCTTCTACTACATAAACTGTCCCCACTGTTCTATTTCTTCTACATTCTGATTTTACTTTCCCTTCTTCGTTGAATGAATAAATGAAACAACTTCAGAGGAGAAAAGACAGTTGGCAAAATAGACAAATGTGTTCGTTCACAGCTACAGATGTCAAGGCTGAGATATGTTCTTTCAGAGTTACAGATGTAAAGTGGCTGAAAATAGACCACTTAGTAGCATCTAGTAGGAGTCAGGACCAATTGAGACAGTAGGAGCCTTGCTTCAGAGTTTTGAGCAGAAGCAACCATAGCAACCCTAATCTCCTGCAGAGAGACTAACCATGAGTTCATCTCTCTTGGCCCCATCCCTATTAGCTCCTTATAAGTTGAGTTCATGGCTCTCCTGAAACACCAACTTTATTCCTTTTTTTCCTCTCCCCTCTCTTTCCATGATTCCATTAGTTCTACAGAGAGAAGGTTCATAAAAGAAGGGAATAGTGATTTTTTACTTAGTGCTGGGCAGGAATTTCTAGATGGTTGGTTAATTGACTGCATTCTGTGGTCATACTCTCAGAAAGGTAATCTCCCTTACAAGGCCAAAAATGAGGAACAAATGCAAAAAGTTGAAATGCAATTCTCATCCAGTGGCAGGAAGTTTAAGTTCCCCTACTGAGACCCTTGACCTAACAACTGTAGGTCAAGGGTGGACTTTGCTTTCTACAGAGAAGGTAGAAAAAATCTTCTGTTATAGGAAAAGACAAATATAAAACAAGTCAAATGCTGTATTCGATTTAGCTAAAAAAAAATTGAGTCCCTCACAAGCCCCCACAAATACACTAGTGAGTGGAACTTAAAATTGTTAGAGCTTCCTTAACTATGCAATTTGTATCCATGCAGATTTCAATAAATGCCCAAACCCATATGTAAATTCTCAAGACAAAGTGTACACTGAGATATAACTCAAAAAACATCCAAATGAGTATATGTTATTACATAGTTATTAACACAAAAACAGAGATCCAGTTTACCTGTACTTCAAGTTTAATCATAAATGCAAATTAAATAAAGGTGAATAATTCTTTCTCTCACTTGTTCTTTTACCTATAATACTTTAATTTTATAGAAAATCAAGTCATAAAACATTCCAGATGGAGAAAAGCATGACATTATCTTTTTATCTTCCAATGTAACTAAAATAGATTTATGTCATGAAATTCATGACATAATAACCTTTGTTCAATAACCCTCAATAACCTTTGTTCCCAAATAGACCTTACCTTGCATTGTCTAGCAATTCAGCCAGTGCTCCAAAAAGGAAACTGTGAGTCGTGCTGACAAAGAAATAAAGAGAAAACAAAAACTTAAACCAGGTGTGTAATCAGTGTAAAAAGTTCAAAACACTCGCAGACAAATGTTCTCCAATTCCAGACAGATAATCAATTAAGAAGTTATTCTAGAAACAACTTTCTCAGCACGATCAAGATTCTGAAGCAGATGCTCTCCATTCCAAAGCCAGGAGTAAGAACACATTTGCCAAAATATCCTGTCCACTCCTAATAAAATAAAAACTTCAAGGACCTTAGTATTGTTAGAGCAAAACTTGACCTTTTAACATTGCTTTATAAGCATGTATTCAAGTAGGATTTTTTCCAGGGAATTTTTCATTACAATTGTGTTATTTAAGGCCAAATTTTTTCTGAAGAATATTGATCAACATCCTGGTCTACTAAAAAGCCATAAGGCTCTAACTACAACCACAGGAATTGGCAGGAAGCCTCTACTTGCCTCACCAATCTATATTTTTCTGTGGAATCTTTCCACCTTGAAAAGCCTGCTCTTTACATATAACCTCATAGATTACCTGAGGCCACTCTCTCCTAAACCCCTAAGGCCAGCTCCTTGGTAACAGAAAACTTGAGAGAGCCTTTACTATTCACCACACTTTGAAGGCTAAATTGTTCTATCTGTGTGTGAAATCAGGCTGCCTCCAAGAGCCCCTGCTTGCTTTTCATTTCCTGATGTGGATATTTCAATCAGCAACCTTATCACAGCATTAAGGGAAGATTCAGTATGCAATTTTCTTTCTATATTTAGTAAACAAGTAACAGAAGCAAGACAAACACATTTATCAAAAAAGCAAATGCTCATTTATACAACAGAAAGCATCATCTGCAATATTTCAGGGCCTCCAAATACCTCAGACCAAAAGACAATACTTTAGCTTAAAATGTATTTTTTTAAATAAATATATATATACACAGACACACACAGTATATATCCCCATTTTTTGGAATTTTAAACTGCAAACGCAGATACTGATGAAAGGTGTCTTGAATCAAGTCAATTTTAAAGTTTTTAATTTTTTTAAAAAGCTACTATAATGCTATTTTACAAAAAGATGTCCTTCATTCAAAAGAAAGCATAAAAATCTAAAATAGTGTAAAAGTATGCTATGCTTTAAAAAATCAGCACTTTAAATCACAAGCTACTCTAGCGAATTTAAAATACATGATTCAATATACAAAAATTCAATACATAAACAATCCTTCAGAAACCTAATTGTAAGAATTCTGACCAAAATTGCCACAGGAGTTTCTGTATTTCTGCAAATCTCTCATTCAAGAGATTTTCACTGACTGCCTACCACGTGCCAGTGTTGTATACAGACAGGGTCTTTGCCATCTTGAAGCTCAAGCTGGTGGGATCTATGGAAGACACACAAGCAGACATATAAAGATGACATTACAGATTGTGACAAGGAGTTACCTTCACAGTGGTGATGGGAAAGAGGAAGTGGTGAGGAGAGGCACAGTGGTCAGAAAAAGCATCTCTTGGTTGAAGATATTTAAACTGAGCCCTGAAGGATGAGAGGATTCAGTACCTTACAGAGCAGCGTGGAAACTTTCCAGCAAGAACAAGAGATGCGAAGACACTGAAGCAGAAAAGAGCCAAGGAGACCAGTGTGGTCGGCATACAGTAAAATGAGAGTGGGCTGAGATGAGGGCACGGCAGGGTCGTGCAGGGCATCCTTCCCCACAGAGAGGACCTTGTGCTTAGGCAACATGCAACCAGGAACCACTGCAGGGTTTTCAGAAGAGATACATACCTGGTTTACTTTTTAAAAGGCTCACTCTGGCAACCATGGAGGAGCCAAAATGAGAAGTAGAGAACCCAGTGAAGAGGCCGTGTAGAAGAGCCCAGAAGGGAGATGGTGGTGGCTTGGACTAAAGTCAATGGCAGTAGAGACAGAGAGAAATGAGTGAATCTGAGTCATATTTAGAGAAAACATTTACTTGATGATGGATTGGATGTGGGGGTGAAGCAAAGGGAGAAAAAAGAAAAACCATTCCTGTTTTTACAGATGAAAGTCTCAAACAAATCTACCTGGGGGAACTAAGAAGAAATCAATTGGTATCTGATTTTCTTATTGTTGTTGTTTCATATGGCTGTCAATTTTGTTATTAAGTTACCATACCACCAATTGAAAATGGGGCTGGGGAAGTGGGTAGCACAGGGTGGTTTGCTGCAGGGAGAGGCTGGGAAGCAATAGCCACAGACACTATACAAAACTGAGGCTGAGGAAATTTTCCAAGATAAAATTCACAGTCCTTCCAGCACTGCACTTAAATTTTTTCTTAAACTCACTCAAAACTGCTATTTCTTCATTTGTCTTCCACCTCATTAGCTTTTAACTATTTGTTCCACCTTTTCCAACTTGAAATCATTCTCCACAGAGAGATAAAAACTGAAATCTGCTGAAGATTGCCTGTCTTACTCTTGTTATCTGAAAATTACAGATCGCCCTGCCCAGCAAGGCTGGCCTTCCCTGGCTTTTTTTGTACCTCCACCTCTGTGGTTTCAAGTTCAGCACATCCCTTATATCAGTCAGTATTTTTAGTAAATCCAAATTACTAAAAGATTAAAAAAAAAAAATACTGACATACCACTGTGAGTTACACAGCACTCCCTGGTATGATTTGCTGTGTGGGCAATGACAGGTGAGATCCCTCCGCAATCTGAGTATCTGAAGTAACACCTAATGAGCCTTAGGTAAAAGGGACCTGGGCAGGGTGGAGAAAAACAAAGGCGCCCAAATAACAACTAAACCATGAGATTCCTATCCTTTGAGGTTACGTTTTTTAGAAAGACTTAGGAGGCCACAGAGGTTGAAATCAATAAATGCAAATGGCTCTGTTTGGAGGGCAACTTTAATCTTTAAATTGCCGGCGTGTTGGGCAGACTAAAGGTAGGCAAGATTGGTAAAATTAGGCTTCTGCTGACCAACGACTCGTTTTGTTTAATGATAAATGTGGGGCCTTCCTACCATTTGGTGTTCATTGACGAGCACCAAAAGAGTTCGAGCTGGCCCAGAATATATCTTTATCACTTTTTCACTTTTTTTTTTTTTAAGCACAAACAACTCAAATAAATAAAGCCATAAATCAACGATACCAAGTTCATTTTTTGTGTTTTCAGTTGGGAGCGGACAAAACTTTTGTCCATTGGCAGGGACCCGCCCCGACTCCGACCCCACCTGGGCACTCACGAGTTGGCGTGGATGAAGTCCAGATGCAGCTGGGCCCGCCGCAGGGCACCATACCTATCGCCCATGCCCTCGGACGCGACCCGCGCGGCCCGCGGACGCGAACACCTGGCCCGCAGCTGTGCGCCCTCACGCACGCCCACGCGCACGCCCACGCGCTGGTCCTCGCGCGGCGCCCGGGCTCGGCAAACGCGCGCCCCCTGGCGGCCGGGCCGCGCGGCTCCCCCTGCGCCGTCGAACCGCTGTCGCGAGAGGGCGTTCTTTGCTGCTTGGTCTCGGATCCACAGCTTGAGAATGATGCATGGGAACTAGGGTCTTCCGGAATTGAGGTTTGTGTAACCTTCTTAAACTGTTGTCTCTCTGCAATTCTCAATCACTCGCCAGCTGGAAAATGAAGCCCAAGGCTGGGATTAGAATTTTTTCAGAAATGATCACACACACACACACACACACACACACAGAATGTGGAGAATCTGGGTCTCATGGTAGGGGATGTAGGGAAGGTAAATGGGTAGTTTTCCTTTGCCCGTGCAGTTTGTTACACAGAACCAGAGGTGATTGTGCTTTGTGTTGCAATCCTAGCGCTTCCTTTCTCTGTCTCTTGAGTTGATCATGTTTTCTCCATTTGGAGGAAAATAAAATAAAATAAAAATAAAAGAGATAAGCCAGAGAGAGAACAAAAAGAAGTACCAGAGATAATCAGAACAGAATTTGGATCTCTCAGTAACATGGAGACTTATCCCTAGGTGAGAACAGCTGTCCCCTCCCGGATAGGCCAGTAACTAACCTTTTTTAATCCGTCAGCTAACATTCCACTATTTCACATGCTGATTTGGCACATGAACTAGACATGTACGGTTTCAAAAGATAGAACTGAGTAAATATATTCAACCTGCCCCATTGGATAAAAATGGGCAGGTTGGATAAATATAAAGAAGAGCTATGTAGACCAGCTGCCCAAATGGTGTTACTCTACTCACAAAGCACAGAGTTCCAAGTCACCAACACCCAAGCTGAAACAGGCTTTGACAGGGGTGCTACATGGAAAGGTCCTGGTTGGGATGGGAAATTAGCTGACTTAGTTGGCCTCTAAGAAGTGGTTAAACACTACTTCAATGTATAGGGCTATTTGACTTGGAAACTAAGGTAGTTCAATAGTAATCAGCAAAGATGTTAGGTGGTAATTATAAAGTCAGAAACAAACATCTATTGATAGACTTGTTTGTAATGTCTGAGCATCATACAGGCGAAGAAGTTCTCAAAAAAGAAAAAAAAATGTGAGTTTTGGAGTAGTCAGTCTACTTTGAAAGTGAGGAATATATCAACTACTACATTTATAGGAATCAGGAGAGGAAGAGAGAATGTGAATGGCAACCCAAAGGAACATGATGCTGTACTTTAATTTGAAGACTGGAAGTAAACATAAACATTTCAAGCAATCCTGATTGCATTTTTGTTTTAACAGTGGCTGATGTGGCAGTGTTTTGATAGCAAAATTCTCTTTACTAAGCAACTTGGGCTATCTTTCCAATTTTTCCTTCCATAGAACTTCACAAATATGATATTTTATTTTCATTTTATGGGCAAGAAAAGCTTGACAAGCCTCTTTTGGATTTATTTTACTACCCAATTTCCAGATGCTATCTCAAAGCAATTTACTACCAGGAGGACACTGGAGCCACTAGCCTGTAATTAGTAAAGGCTGTAATGTCTAATTTTTACCAGAGGGAAGGGTGCAATTATTGCAGAAGCCCTCCTTCTAATAATCTGAGCAAGTAAGTGGCCAGCCCCAAAGCACTAGACAGTACTGGTTAGACTGGATGACAAGCACAGACAGGGATCTGTTAGATTATGCTAAAAAAAAGAGGCTTGAAATCCACCAAAAGCCCTTTTTTTTTTTTTTTTTTTTTTTTGGAGACATTGTTTCATTGTGTCGCCTGGGCTAGAATGCCATGGGGTCAGCCTAGCTCACAGCAACCGCAAACTCTGGGCTCAAGGGATCCTCCTGCCTCAGCCTCCTGAGTAGTGAATGCCACCACGCCCAACTAATTTCTTTCTATTTTTAGTAGAGACAGGTCTCACTCTTGCTCTGGCTAATCTCAAACTCCTGACCTCAAGTGATCTACTCGCCTCGGTCTCCCTGTGTGCTAGGATTACAAGCATGAGCCACTGTGCCCAGCCCACCAAACACTTTTTCCTCTCTCCATTTCAACACCGCTTAGCCACCCTGCTGTCATAAAGGCAAATCTTGTTCCTCTTCAAGGTGTACTTTTGGGATTCTTTGTTTTAACCACATCCCTCAACCCTCCCTCAAGATTCGTTTTAACATTATTTCATGTTTAAAATACTGGAGGAGTGGCAGGGAGGGGAAACTTAAAATAAGTATGCCATTTGATCATCTTATGGTTTATATTAATACTAATCTTAAGGAGAGTCGATTTGAGATAGACTCTTAAGCTCTTCCTAACTGAACATTTCAGATTTGCAGCATTCATGCTCTATTCACAAATGTTGGTTCAAATCTCTCAAATTACATTTTTATTTAAATAACTATTGTATGAACCAACATTTCATTACTCTTCACAAACATGTTTAAACTCAAGACAGAGTTTATGAATATAAATAAAAAGCTGACGTTTGAACCTACCAACCATCTACAAGGGTATGCCATTTCCTAAGGACTATAACTAAGAGGTGACATTGGCATATTATAATAAACATAGGCACACATGCTATTAAATTGATAATATTGAAAGAGGCCAATGGTCCTCAATTGAGAATAGACAAATGTTTCTAAAAGCATCTCACATCCTTTGTTATGATTTGAATATTTGTCCTCTCCAAAACTCATGTTGAAATTTAGTCCCTAGTATTGTAATATTGGGGGGAGGGCCTTTAATATTGGGTCATGAGGATTAATGGATTAATAGGTTAATAAATTAATGGGTTAACATGAGATTTGCACTAGTGGCTTTATAAGAAGAGGAAGGGGAACCTGAGCTAGCATGCTCAGGCCCTTCACTGTGTGATGCCCTGCACCACCTCAGAATCTGAAGAGGATATCCATCAGCAAGAAGCCCCCTATCAGATATGACCCTTCAGCCTTGGACTTCTCTGCCTCAATAACTGTAAGAAATAAATTCCTTTTCTTTGTAAATTACCTAGTTTCAGATATTTTGTTGTAAGCAACAAAAAACAGAGAGACACTTTTCTTACTCATTTTTTTTTGCATTCATGCAAGACAATCTGGATAGTGTGTCTTCATCTCTTCTAATCTACCCCATGTCAGACAATGGTAGGGTTTCATTGCATCAGTTCTCAGTTATCTATCTTACTGGCAATCTTTATATCCAGGTATTCAGCACAGGGGTAAGCACCTCTGCAGACTGTGGCGAAATATGAAGCCTTGAGCTTGCCCTATGAACAGTGGTGATATTAGAGGATTTAGAAAATATGATAACCATTTTGGGTTAACTAATCCAATAGTCATTCCCAACTCTCTTCTTTCCATCTCAAAGCTGAAAATGTGTTTTCCTGTGCTCTCCTGCAGTGAGGGATGGCCATCTGACCCAGCCCTCGTAAATAAGATAGAAACAAAACTGTGCTAAGTGGTTTCTAGAAAGTCTTTTGCTCCTGACAAAAGGTGCAGGTGGGCCTGGCTCTGTCTCCCTCCCTTCACATGTCTGCCTTCCCGATAAGCATAATTCTGGGGCTTTGGGTGTCATTTGCATCCAGGAGGGAAAAATCGAGAGAGTAATGTGAAGTTGTTCCAAACATTCTTGAATTTCTAAACCAAAACCAGCAATCATTCACTTCCAAATTTTTTGTTATGAAAAATATTTTAAATTAATCCTTATTTTTTGTCATTATAATTGCATCTTTTTTTACTTGTAGCCAAAACTATTTCTGATAGAGGAATGTACAACATAATGCCAGAAAGCACCAGAAGCTTACTTTCTTTCCATCATTGGGCATCAGCAAAAGAGTATTTATTATGAAAAGTAATATTTAAGTTTTTTCTTGCCAGAAATGGTACATGTAAGTTGGCAGAGACGAAGGAAGACACTGCAGACAGAAACAGCCATCAGAACAAAAAGAGAGAGAAAGGGGCAAGACATGTGTACAGAATTATAATAACTAGAAATCATTAGATTGAAGCACAGGAAGAGACAAGGTTGGCCAGGTAAGGAAGGAGAGCATTGGAAGAGAGGTTTGTGTGTCAGGGTGAAGTTTATGTTTAGTGCCATATATAATTTGGAGTCATTATTGGCTTGTCTGGTGATTCAATCATTTATTTGGTGAGAGCCAGCTCTATGGTAAATCCCAAGAATATAAAAATAAAAACACCTGTTCTTGCATTCGAGGAAGTTACAGTTTAATACAGGCAAAATGTATCAGGTTTCAGTGTAGGAAACAGAAATCATTCCAGGTACTTCAAGCCCAATGAAGTATAATACAAGGAAACGGGTATTTACAAAACCTCTGAGAGGGATATAAGGACCAAAATTAGGGGCTCACCAGTGGACACATGAATTGAATTCGGCCTCACATCATGAAGCTGAAAAGCATAGGGCAGCAGTCTACTGATGCCACCACTATACATAGGGTCCAGTTACCCACGAGGAGAGTTCTGGATGGGGAAATTCTGACTGTGGCCATTGCTTCTAAACACTCACATCCCATGTCCTGCATGCTAGCAGCTAAGCATCGAAAGAAAGAAAGAGGAAGGGAGGGAGAAAGAAAAGCATCTGACTTCTGACTTCTCATAGAAGATAGTCTCGTAAGTAGAAAGTTTTTCACAACCAGGGCTTTGGCTACTTAGGCATTTAAATATAGTTTCTAGTTTTCCAATCTCTCTAACAAGACAGATTGAAGATAAAGTGCATGAAGACAGAGAAAGGCAAAGTGCACTTTCTGCTTCATTGATGGATATTTAAGGCATCGATAAGTGCATTAAGGTGTTACAGGTCCTCTGAGAGAAGTCCAAGCTTCATTGAAGGGGGTAGATTAGGAAAGATTTCAAAGAAGCAATGAAATTTGAACAGAGCCTTGAAAGGTGAACTTACATTTGCAGGTAAACAGAACTGGGATTGGCATCCTAGGTTGAGTGCTCAGTTGAAAGAAAGGAAAAGTGTGAAACTGCCCGGACATTCA